TCAGAATCTAAAATAAATAAAAGCGACTTAGCAGATGTCGCAGACAACTGAGTAACTGTACCTAATGAATAGTATTAAATTTGAATTCAATGATAATATATCTTTCTATACGAAAAACGATTATGAGCAAAAACATTTTGTTAATCTAGGGTAGTGTATTTGAACTAAATAATTTGTAAGCTTTCAATTTAAAAATTTTAACATTACACACAATCACATTTAAAAAAAACGCGTAGATGTATTTTTAATATTTTTCAATTGCTATTATATCAACTTATTACGTGGATCCTAGTGATAAATTTTCAAGATTTTTGACCCAATGAATACAATTTTATTAATATTTATAGAATAACAATATTAAATTTTTTTAAATTTTACATTTCTATAAATAGTTTAAAAAGAGTTTAAACATTTTGAAAATTTTATCATGTATAAGCAATGATTATAAATACACATTTGATGACAATTTTAAGTACCTTCGGTTAATAATTTTTGATTATCAACAAAATAAGAATATCTTTGTATGAAAAACAGAGTGTACATCCAATGTTGTAAAAATATGAATTTCAAACACTTATAAAAATTTGATTTAATTTTTCAGTACACATATCTTTATTTTTTTTTTGATAAAGCTAAACAACCTTACGAGGGATCTTGTTTTAAATTTTCATTCTCAAAAATATATTAAAATATCAATTGCAAAATTCTTATGAATTTCTAACTCGAAGTAATTTTCAAAATTTTCATGATTTTAAGTATTTTGTCAAAATTCAAAAAAAATTATGACGAATTTTTAATTTTTTTTCAGCTGCCATTGTAACTGTATATTAGAAGCATTTTATTACATTTTCAAACTTTTTTACCCATCGAATACATTTTATTGACATTTATGAAAAAATTAAATATATATTATCTATATTTGGAAACTAAATATCCATACATGCTCAATATCAAGTCAAAATATTTTCAAAACCTCATGATGTATATGCAATGCAAATATAAACATTAAGTAAAAATTGCAAGTATTTCAGGTCTTTTGTTTTTGAGTTACCACAAAATTCAAAATTAATTTTGCCGAAAATCGGTTTTGCATATAATATTCAACTTTTTCCCTAAGTTTTTGCTTGCTTTTCCTGACACTTTTGAAAACTATTAAGATTTTTTTGACTTAATAAATTTTAGATTTTAAAATAATTATTTTATTATAAAATTAATTTACGTAAATTACTTCGTTAGACATCATACAAGCATATCATTGAATCAAAATATTTTTAAATGATGATATTGGGACAAATATTATAATCATGATTTATACATTATATATATTTATTTTATAAATAACCACTTTTGGAATATGTGAAAATAATATAAAATTTTTGTGATGACTTATCATCCTTTTTTGGCTCTATAGGTACATCAGTTTATTATTGATTATTATTTAGTTTGTTTGAAAATATTATGTAGTATTATTTAAACATTTAAAACTAAGTTACTAATCATTTCCATTGCATTGACGAGTGGGTTGGTGGAGGTCATAAGT